AAAAAAAAAAGAAAACATCAAACACAAACCTACCATGAACTCTTACACTCCAAAGGAAGCTGATAAATCAAGACTACAAGGAAGATAAGTTCCCATTATCCCATAGTTAGCAAATACAGTCCGGAGCACAGGAATGGAGCCTTTGTCTGGGATCATTTGCTTGCAAGGACAAGTAACTGAAGAGGGTAGGATCTGTCTGTAAGATGTGAAACATCTGGGAAAACACAACTTAGGCCTCTTGAAAGAACTGGAACAATGAGAAGGAAAGGTTCCCAGGGGTCAGCTAGTTGTTCTCGCCTCCCACTCCTTCTCTCTCAGCACGACTCAGCTGCCTCATCCTGTTCTCTGTGTTCTAACTTTTCTACTGCTTAGCAGTTCGGCTGTCTGGACCCCACGTGATACTGCAGTCTAACAAGCAACAGAGACCATCCAGTCTCTGTTAGCATTTGGTTGGCAGATCCAGAGACTCACAGGAGAGAGATGAGTGACTTTATGTTCACCATCTAGCTCTCACTTGAGGACAAGCACTCCAAGAACTTAGGATTACACCGAGACTAAATCCAAGATTGTGGGTCAGCGGGCTGCTCTTCAGGCCCAGGCTGATCCTGGGAGGGCAGCCTGAGATCAGCTCTGGATGTCCTCACCTGAGACAGCTCATCCTCCTTAGGGGCTCACGCTCTTGCCAAGCATCCCAGGGCAATTTGCACTAGGGCCTCAAGTTCCCCAGAAGGAATGAGGAGATACGAAAGGCCTTTCAAAACTTCTTACAGAGTTAGCATGTTGAGGTCACTACAGACTGTTGCCTAAAGAGAGTGATAAGGCCAGCCTGGAGCCAAGGGATAGAGAAATAGGCTCCTTCCTGGGGCAGCTACAAAGGCATGTTATTAAATAGTACAGTAACAGGGAGGGAAAGAGGAAGCATTCTGGCCATTTTTATAAACTGCACAAAATCCCTGAGGGAGCCAGGCCAACTCAGGCTGCATCTACGTTACTCCACACACGGCTCTTGACTGGTGTAGCACAGGTAGAAGGAGACTGAAGAAGTGTATGCAAGTGTTCAGAATTTCAGGCTGCAAGGGCCACTTGCGATGAACGCTCCAAGTTCATAGCCAGCTCTAGTCACATGAGCCACACCTTGCAGTAAAGTGACAGGAAAAAAAAAAAAAATGAGCCAATGGAACATTAGTGAGCATTGCTGTTTCTACCCTAGCAAGCTGTCTAAGACCTAAACCAACTAATCACTCCCAAGAGCAGGGTCAGAAAGGGGGAGAGGCATGTAAGGTCTAAGTTAAAGACCATGGCTAATAAATCAGAAATTGCACAAGGTCTTAAAGAATCCATTTTGGCAAAGGCTCAGATCAAGGGATCAGAGTAAATGGAGAGAAAACCCCAAGTGGTTTGTCACCCTAAATTTCTGAAGCATTCCATCTAGATTTGTTCAAAGGCTTCCGTAAGAGCCAGATCGTACTACCAACTGAAAGTCAACGAAGGAACCTACAGAAGTAGAATTCCATGTGGAACTAAGTACTAATGTCATTGTCCAGAAAATGCAGCTGAACATCAAGTCCAAAGAGTAAAGAAAACGTACAGGAAGGAATAAGCTTAGTAGCTGAAAGGACTGAATTAAGATGGAACTGGGTATGCGACATGAGCCTGGTAATCTGTGAAGGGAAGGCTTACATAAATCGCATTAGCCTGACACCAAGGCTGTGAGCGTGAGGATGGACCAGATGTGTGATGTCTGCTTGCAGGGCTGGGAGAAAGTCTCCCCAAAACAGGAGCAGACACTGGAGGCTCCAGATGAAGATCCCAATCTCATAGCAGGGTTGCTTCTCCTCATCTGTTTTGACTTCCTTCTCTTTCATTTGACCTTCCTGGCATCTTCCCCTGCTAACTCCTTGCTCCAACTTCTCACCCTGAGAGTATTAACTTTTACAACTTCTTTTCATTCCAAATACTCACAGTAAGAGGGAAGAGTTTATTTTTATAAGGCACAATGCACCATGTATTAGTTGCATTTGGTGCAAAGTCTCCTTTAATCTCCTGCACCAGATTCCTAGATGATAATGTGGTTTATGATTCACAGGAAGCCCCAGGGATGTCGTCTGGGGAGGCTGCCAAGCCCTACTCCACATGTCTTTCCATCGCAAAAAGCAAAAGGCATTGGTCCACACACCATACTGAATTTGGGGAGAAATAAAAGAGAATGCCTTGCTTGACCTGTTGCTTATTTCCTTTCAGGTCAGTGGAACTATGTACAACACTGGAAGACATGTGTCCCTCCGCCTGGACAAGGAGCATTTGGTCAACATATCAGGAGGGCCCATGACATACAGCCACAGGCTGGAGGAGATCCGGCTACACTTTGGAAGCGAGGACACCCAGGGGTCAGAGCACCTTCTCAATGGACAGGCCTTCTCTGGGGAGGTATGTGGGTCAAAGTACAGATGGTATAAGAAATCATGCTAGTTTATATCTAAAGTAAAATAATAGACAAAAAGATTTCTCTTGAATCTATGAATCTAGCAAGTCCAGGCCTGTTTTCTTCCTCGCCTCTTGCATGCTGGCATGAACCTGCAATATTTTCCAGGGAAAACTACAGTAGAAATAAGGATTTCTTCTGAGACATTGGTGCATCTCTCAGAACTTATATCCTAATATATCTCTGGAGCATAATGCCACCCAGACCTTCTTCACCTCTCATGTACCTCTTCACTTACACCCCTCTGAACCAGCAACCTCTCATGTCACTACGAAAGTGTAGATTCTACATTTCTCCCTTCTGAGATATTAAGTCTCATTGGCTCAAAATTATAACATACTGTGAAGTAAATGTCAGGCAACTAAATAGTTTGCCTGAGATTCTGCAGTGTGGAAATGTCATTGTGTGCCACCACTAAAGGTGAATGTCACTGTGTGTCACCATCAGCCCAGACAAAACTCAGGCCACAGTAGTGAGCTGAAGCACAGTTTCAATGATAGAATGAGAGTTACCACTGAAACAGATGTCACCTGTGATGTGACACCCGATAAGCAGAGTGTATCTCATTGGACCTGTTTCATCTCCACTACATTTGTGGTTGATTGTCCATGAGGAATCAGGGCTCCTCCTGTTAAGTCTCAATAACTGATATCAGGGCTGGGGAGCTAGCTCAGTAGAATAAGCGCCTACCTGGCAAGCGCAGGGTCCTGAGTTCAATCCCCGGTACTGAAAAAAAAAAAAAAAAAAACTGCTATCAGGAAGCTTTGAAGTTATAGAAGCATGTATTTCATGAGAATCTTTCTTTTTTCATCAAGGTCATGTTTAGACCTGGTATTATTTGTAATGTGTTAAGGATGTATACTGAGAAATTGATCCCAATCTGAAGGAGTTCACTGGCCAGATTTTTATATGTGTTCAAACTTCATCAACAGAGAACCTGCCCAGTGATCCAGCTAGTTACCAGGGATACAAGGGTTTAAAAAAGAAAAAGGGGGAAAGAAAAAAACAGCCTCTACCACCGAGGAGCTCAAAGAATGCTATATTCAAATCATTAAAGCCTAATGTCATGCTGTAATGGAGCAGCAAAAAGCCCCTGGCATGCTCAAAGGAAGAAGTAACAAATTTTATTGAAGGGTTCAGAAGGAGCTTCACAGAGGAGATGCCCTTTGAACTGGGCTGTGAAGGGAAGCAATGAAGAACAATTTTAAGAGCATCAGCTTTGGAGTCAAAAGGCCTGACTCTGCAGCTCCCGCTTTGATACCCACTAACTATGTTATCTCGGGATGCTACCTGGTACTTCTAAGGCACAATTTAGGCACCTCTCAAGATTATTTTAAAATTTAAGTGGGATTCCAGATGTAAGGCACACTGGAAGTACTCAGTTGATGGGTGAAAAGATAAGGCACGAAATGAGGACAAGCATGAGAAATGTGCTGGAGACACATGAGGGTACGGAGTGTTGGAAAAGCCACCTATCACATTTTATCTGTGATCTATTAGTAGTGGCTGCATAGACAGTGGGGTTGAGCAAGAGTATAAGGCTCCCTCCTGCACCTGTAGGAGGAGAATGCTAGGACTGATTAGAAATGTCTTCCAAAGACAAGCAGGTAGCAAAAAGCTCCCAAGTGTTGCAGATCCTGGGCATAAGAAGGATGTGATGAAAGCAGAGCAAAACCCAAACCTTGTGGGTAATTGGGGACTTCTGGTCTGACCTGGAGAAGACTCAAAGTTAGATCAATGCCTCCTTTAATAATATCAATTATTTTAAGATTTATAATTATTTTATATGTTGAGTTACTTGCTTTATTGGTGTGCTGTTGCTGTTGCTGTTGCTGCTTACCACCCACTAGAATGTCACATTCTGGTGCCTATTACAACAATATCTCAGAGCAGAAATATTTCTACTATTTAAATATAAATGAACAAAAAATACAGGTAGTTACTAGGCTAAAAATCTATAAGTTATAGAGTTCTTTGATGCCACTTATTTCTTTTTTGAGGTTAAACTGCTTTATTTAACAGTGAATGATAAATGTACAGTTAACAGTACAGGCAATATTTTGGCCCACTTGTTTATGTCAGCTGAGCACTTTCCATAAACAAAGCAAAAGTACAACCAGATACAGGGCTTTTGTACTTGGTGCAGTCTTTGCACCATGCTTTGACTTCATAGCTGGAAAAGATACCAACCTGTTAAAGGCTGAGATTCACGTAAAGTTTTTCACTAAAGCCTGAGTGCATTTTTAGTAGGCTAATATTTTTTCAACATTGTTATTAAATACATTCATTTCATCTATGGCCTGTGTTTTCTGTATAATCCAAGATGACTAGAGAAGACAATATGGATAAACAATACTGAAAAAAAGCTGCACCAGACCCACCCTTAAGGCAGCCTAAAGTAGCCCAAAAAAGCTCCTTCTCAAAATTTGGGGCTTTCCAGATAGCTCAGCTGTTTAAAGCGCCACTTGGGCAAAGGCAGTCAAGTGCATAGGACAGCAGTTTGATTCCCAACTCCAGAAGGCCCACCAGGCCCGCTCTTAAGGCTGCCTGATGTAGGGAAAATAAAAATAAAAATAAAAATAAACCTAAGGGTTGTCCAAATAGCTCAGCAGATTAAAGTACCTGCAAGGCAATCCCCATGCTCCCGGGGCACACTGAGCCGGCAATTGAGACTGGGCTAATTGAGACTGGGTGTAGTGGTGTGCCCCTGTAATCCCAGCACTTGGAAGGCTGTAAACAAGCGGATCACTACAAGTCCAATCTAGTAGTGAGACCCTGAACACCCTGTAGATCTTTCCCTAAAATGTAGGGGAAAAGATGCAGAAAAATCTTCACATGAAGAGGCCCTTAAAACTCAATCTATCCCAAAGGCACAGAGAATCAGTAGGGTACAAATTTCTCCTTGCTTTGGTGATACTTACAACCAAATAGGATTTTATTGTGCAGTTTTATACATTTTAGTTGCTGTTGTCAGTACACTTAATTACCTACCTTTACATTTTTCTTCTAAAATAGCATCAATAGTGTTCAAGATAAATAGAGTACAAGGTATTTCCATTTTGAAGTTGGGCAAGAACTGCCACAATCTTGCTCAATGTATCGAAGTACGCAATGGTTCCAAAAGGGCTTCCCTAAGCATTATGGATCTACACTGCATGGGAATTAATGAATAGAAATGTTATAGAGAGTTTCCTGATACATTATTTTAAACATACTCCTTAGTGGGTGCAATAAACTGTCACTAATCACCTTTCCCTAAGCCTCAAGTTTTCTTCGTAAGAATGCTGTAGGATGGAATTAGTATTGTATACTGATTATAAATGAAGCCAAATTTCTACCTAAATATACAGGTATGCGTGTCAAGCAATGTTTTGTGACAAGCACACAAAATGCCTTTATGCTTAAACTTGTTTCTTGAATATATAATGAGGATGCTCTGTAACTTATGCATGAATAAGTTATGCCTTTGGAGCAAGTGACTGCTTCCAAAATCCTTAAGAGAAATATGTAATAATTTGATCTCTGAGTATTCTGATCTTCCTAGACCTACCCTAGACCATGGGTGTTGGGTACACCAAAGAATCTGCATTTTACAAGTTTCCGGGACAGTCTCTCAATTAGATCCAAGAAACTATCCATCAACAGTACATTATTAAGTGTTTCCAGTGAGGAAAACACACAGCAATGCATTCATACAGTGAAGAATGCCATTAAACAGAGTTGCAAATACAAATAACTTGGGTGCCTTGTCAAAATACTTATACCTGAGTTCTTCCTTAAACCAACTGAATTGAGGCCTCAGGGAGAACATTCCCTGGAGAGATTCTGATTAGCAACAGCTATGCAAATTCAGAAGACACTGCCAACATTTTCCCAGTTCCCTAAACAAAGAAATCAATCCATGCATGCCCAAGGTGGAAGAGGAACCCCTTAGTAATCCCCTCCTGGCAGAGGCAGCTGCAGTGCTATGGAAATCTGTAGTACTTGATGAACAGCCTCCAAAGCAAGAGAGTCACATGTATCTCTTGCCCCAAGTCTGACTGTCAGCCTCAACTTCTGCAATTGTATCTTCCCCTGGTAAAGAACATCCATTGGATCACATTTCTTTCCAACCTGTCAGTATTAGCAAACATGGGGATTAAAAAGTGGAATAAGGAGAATTTTGGAGGTGCCAAGACAATGTCATAAGGAAGATGATGGATAGGCAGTTGGACTTTGAGGTGTATAAAGGGCTCTAATGAGCAAGAGGAGCTTAACATCTTCAATGTATCATGAGATGAGTGATCTCGGGCCAAGGGGTTAAAGTTACAGAAAGTTGGATGCCGCTAAGCTTACGCGGTAGCAGCGAGAGTTCTCCATCAGAGAAATGAGTTTGGCTTGGAAAACAGTGAATTCCTATCCCTGGAATTATTAAACATTGAATAGAATTTGGTGTCTTCATAAAAGTGACTCACTTCCTAATAAGCAGGTGAACCGTTAGCTTTAATGCACCTTCCAATAATGAAATTCTACATAATCTATGATTCCCTTATAGAATTTTCCTCCAAGCAGGTTCCCCTGAGGGTTAGCCCGGGTAAAAGCAAATATACGTCCCCCTATAACTCAACATTTTATTGTTATGATTTTGTGTTTCTTTCAAGGCCATCCTTGGTCTCTATTTCTAGCTATCCTTTGAGAGAACCCAAGTAGATAGTTGCCGCAACAAAGCGTGTGTTTATTTTCTTGACAGTGAGTAATCACACTGCCATCTGCTCCATCTATCATTGCTGATCGTGAGAAGTCAATTAATGCCAAGCACTCTCCTTGACACAGTGCAACAGTCATTATCCGAAAAGCTATAGATTAATTGCAGTGTTGTCTAGTGAGGTTATTATAATTGATGGTAATCATTTGCTTTGTTTTATAAAGCTGCATGGATGTGTGACACAGTCAGCAACTGTATTTT